CGAAGGTCTGGGTACTGTAACAGTATGAAGCTTCACATTTGCTTTTTTGTTTTCTGACACATTTAATGCTACAAATTGTTCAGACGACGAAGGCGAAGGAATCCCACGTGGTCGGGGTCGAGGTGCAGAAGCGCCGTTGATTGGTGCAAGTGATTCTGAAGAGAGCGATACTGGTCGACAGGGCACTGTTAACAAAGATACGGAAGATTCCGATGAGGTCAGTCTCCTTGTACACACTTACTTTCTTACAAATGTCAATGGAGGTGATTCAGGAGTTCCGAAAGAAGAAACAGCAACAAAAGAAGAAAATCGTTACTAGTGACGAAGAAAGTGACTAGAAGAAACGAGGTTGTTGAATATTCAATTTGCTGTTTTGGCCTGGTCTCGTTGTTGTAAACACTGTGGTTTATCAGTTTTCAAGGTTGTTGTACAAATTTGCTGAGGTCTTACCCTTATTGTTGTTTTTATTATAACGCGAGTAATATATGAACAATTTTACACAAATACATGGCTATCATCGAACAATCTTCATGTGCCCTAAGGTGCTACATCTAGGAGTACGACAACAGAAGAGGCATAAGATTTGTACCCGAATGTGTTTTGCTGGCTCGATTTGAAGTATGAGCAACACAAATACTCGATGACTGAAAGGCAATGAATGAAAGAATGACTAGCTAATGACTAGGTAAAGCCGCTTAGAGGACAGTCTACTGCGGAATGTGATCTGAAGAAATGTAGATTCGCTTAGAGGAATTCAATATTCCTGTAATTTTCGCAGAGGATCTGAATTCGAGTGTAGAAATCGTCACGTTTGGCCAGTCCGATAAACTGTAAAGCCTTCCTTCGTCCCTCCATTCTGATCTCCAGTGATTTCCTGGTCCCAGTAAGAAATCCCACAGTACGAAGGGATCGGGTCTGAAATATATGTACTCATAGAACGAAGTATCACGTTATGCCTAGTATTACTGACCTTCTTAATGGATATGACGTCGGCGAATAGTAAGATTAAAGGTGGGTGGTCATCTGACATCGACTTTGTTCGGTAAATCAGTGCGCTGGAATGCAGATGTTGGTTTTACGTTATTCTGGAACTAGTTTCCAAAGCGAATGAAGTAATTCCTAAGTTTTAGGGATATGTGAGACAGTCCCCTTCGCAAATAAGGTACAGTGGTCTATCACCGCATATGCTATGCCGATTTCAGAGGACAGAAATGTATGGTAAGGGAGCTTAAGCCATAGGACTGGGAAGGCTACGTTCATACTTTGCGGCAGCGTCCAACAGCGTCAGTACCAGGAAAGTATGGTTATCGGTCTAGCTTCTGCCAACGAGCACCAGCGTCTACCACCGTCCGAGAGAAGAGAGTATGGCGCGCTAGGAGGGAACCAGTTGTCTGTTACCTCCTATCGCGCCATACTCTCCCGGACGCTAGTACACGCTGGTGCACGCTACCAGACGCTAGATATTTCTAGGTTCTAACTGCTGACGCTGGCGGACGCTATTTGTTGCTAGTGGATGCTGCCGCAAAGTATGAACGCAGCCGAACGCTCATTAGGCACGGAAACACTCCGACAACAGCTACTACGTGACAATAGAGGTACGCCACTGACTGTGATAATGAATGTGAATAAAATAAACTAGGAGGAAATGGTGGAGATCCTAATGATGGGAATAAATAGATGAACAGATAGTGATGAGACTAAGATGGTCTGGCTTAGATGTTTGGTCTGGGAAAAATTTAGGGCTTGACGACATAAAAGCACGTTCTGCGTCAGTCTGGTGTTCAGACGCCTTCTTTGGACATGATAGTTCGGTCCGCGAGCATGAAGGATGTGCTCCCTTCGAAGCTCAAATACGTGGGGAAGGCGCAACCCGCTCGCGACGAGGCCACCGCTCCGTCCACCGGCCGCTGCAACGCCCAGCTTCCATTACTAACAGCGGTGCAGCTGATCTACTACAAGTTCTCTCTATTTGGAATGGAGAGTGAGGTGATAAGGAGAAAGAGATGGCACCACCAAGTGAGAACACATAATTTTACAGTGACAGTACAGGTCCTACCAGGGTAAACAGCTGGCTGAAAATAGCGAACATATTCGAATTCAACAACGCAATGAATTTGGCGCCAGCGTGCGCTCCATTGCAAGCGCGAGGTGTTTGCAGATTGCCGCGCGCGCGACGTCGCTGGTCCTAAAGACCGTATCTAACACGGTCGCGTGATTCTTGAATCGCGTGGTGATTCATACAAGTTGCGGAGTATAATCACGGCCAGGCGTGATGATGGTGAAAGGGCCATAGAGAACTGCTTAGTTGAACCGGACTATGTATTTAGGCAGAATAAACTATACCATTCTGTGAGGTAGAGGATTCCAGACGAAATCCCTCTTGGAAAGACCTTTTCTTTGTCGTTCAATACGCAGCTGCGATCTGAAATAGGCTGGGATTATTTTAATTGTTCAGCGAAAATGAACCGAGTGAAGCGGCAAACATACAAGCGAGAACGTTGTCAATCATTTGCTCCTCATGGATGATCAGAGCCTCTTCCTCGTCGTCGTTGCTGAAGATGGACGAGGTCGGCGAATTCTTCGTTGTTTCCTCGTCATCCTCTTCGATTCTAGGGGTTGAATCTGTTGGATCAGCAGGTGGATTAGGACTCGATTGCTCCACTGTGACTAGCGGTGAAACTCTGGATCGGTTGGGACGGTTGAAAAAAGAGCTGATGCTTGGTTCAACACTGAGAGTGTCTGCTTGACTGCTTAAGCCCCATTGAACATTGCTCTGTGAATAGGATTGGTCGTTCAAGGCATCGTACGAACCCTGAAAGTAACTTTCGATGAAATTGCGTCAGATATGAGACTCTGAGCTGATAACCTTGAAATTTTGAGTCAAATTCTGCATAGATCCCTTGTGGACAAGATTCTGCATGGATAAGTTGCGACGCGAATTTAGGCTTAGCTGCGATCCGGTAGTGTCCAAGTTAAAATTTGAACCAAGACGAGAGTTGAACAGTCCATTCAGGTTCAGAGGTTTTCGAGGAATCGGCGACGCCTGGAATATGAACCATGCAGGCATTCATGCTTTCCAACATATGTCAAATTGCTTGCATACCCCTCTTGAGGCCAATGATAGAAGCGGTTCCGGAACGAGCACTGGAGAACCGTCACGAGTAGTTTTCACTGGCAAGTTACGATAGAACCAGCCATACGTGTCGAGTCGTCGTCGTAGTCGAGGAAATCGATGGAATAAGTATGTGGTGATAAAAATACGAACGCCAAGGGTGAGACCTGAACGAGATCATGAGGTATAGTTGATATCGTCACAATCCGGCAGGATAATGTCAGAAGGCGTGCGGCTGCGTTTTCTACTAACAATGGTGGGTTCAGACAGAAAACAACCATTTGTAGAAAACGCTGTGGTAGGTGAAACGGCGAGTACTTTCCACGTATCCTGACACCACCTCCAGGAAATCTATTTTATGCTGTAAAGGGTGAGATTGCATGCAGAGCGCAGTCTGGTATGGGGAGGGGGGCTCCAAATGACATCTAGCGAAACTTGCACAGGCTACCCTGTGAAGACCTGTGAATTCTTGTGACCGAATGTGCTCACCTGTACCATATTGCAGATTCTCAAGACTGTACCAGGTGGATCAACAGGAGCTAATCAAAGGAACTAGCAAAAGTGTATAATGCCCCTTCCGAAGCCGAATAGGGCCCATTCATTCGAGGCATAGACATATTACAGGTATATTAACCATAAGTTCACGCGTATTTGAAGGCACGCCCCGCGTTTTTTCGCGTATGAAGCTCTATCCCTTGCGCAGCGCAAAGTACATGAGGAAAGCGCTGTCTGCTCACGACGAAGCACCGCAACGCCCACCGGCCACGCCCACACCCACTCCCCTTCCCAAAGGCTTCCTGGTGGTGCCCTATTAACTCTCTCTCTACTTCGAATGGTGAGAGCGGGGTGACGCCCTTTTTTGTCTTATGAAGGTCAAGCGCGGTTCAGCATGGGGTTCTATACAGGACATTCCGGGGCGTTTCTTCGAACGATACTCGAGCACATTTTGAAAACCGAGTTAAGCCAGCGTGCCTGCACTTTCGAGGAGCGAAAGTAGCGCACCTTATGTGGCAGGACCTGCGATCTTCTTTGTCAGGAATGAATCCATCTACAGTCAAGCGCTTACTAATTGCAAATGAAACGGTTTCCGTGCCTTACGCTGTTGAACTAGAGGGGACTCTGAAGGACGAAGAAGGTTCAAGCAACGAACTAGCACTTACCGCACATCCCAAGGCATGTGCCAGTGTTGAATATTATTGATAAAGCGAGCCAGTAGATTACCAAACAGTAGAACACAAACGTGACATGGCGGTCTTTCCATGTTAGTAAACTGGAAGAATTCACTAAGAATGGAATCGAATGATTTGAAAAAGCTTTACTATCACTTTTCCATTGAGGCACTTGGAAAGGTGAACTCGGTGTCGTGGTAACTTTGATTCACCTGTGAAGCTTCTCCAGAAAATTGGCGGCGAAATTGAGTAATTTTTGTGCAAATCTTGCCACATCGAATATCAACTGTGCCCCAGTGATGTCAAACTTTGGCATAGCGACTTCCTTCCGAGGAAGAAAATAGAGTCCAATGTCGACATTTCTGAACACATTGACTTGATTTCATCAAACACTGATTGTTCATGGCGCAGCGTACTTAGTGGCCTTCAGGTAGTTCAGGGAAAGCTGTGTCCAGAGCAACAACAGGACTAGCGATGCCGTCCATCCACGGACGATCGAGTATGTGTACACCTGTAAAAAAGTCGACGTTTCTAATGAATAATGTCGGATATGTGGTCCAGTCAAAACACATTCCGCGATAGCCTGCCAGAAATGACCTTTCTCATAAACAGGTCCGCAGCTGCGCAACCACACCCTTTGTTCGAAAATGCGTGGTGAATTCATCGCGAGCATGAACAGAAAATTTCCCAGCAAGTTGGTGAACGGGCATCGACACAGGGAGTGCTGGTCAACTCGAGAGACACAAACGCAGAGAGTCGACGCCTCCATACTTCGGGTGAGTGATTAAGGTCTGATAGCGCCCTACTCACTCCAGAAACACCCACACACGTCGGCATTGCGCGATGGTGCGCTAAACTTCACACCTTTGATATATTATATGTGTGTACTCCATCCCTGTTCTCTGGTCTCCCGCCCGCGCACCCACGGCGGACACCTTTCAAGGTTACAGAGGATCTTTCCCGGAATGTTTTCTGCTGAGTAGTTCCAGAAAAGGAAAAGATCAATAAGCGAAGCGGTAGGATTCCTCACCATTAGAATTCTTGCTTTCCCATGATTTCATTTTTCTTGTGTTCTTACATGCCCAGAACTTTTGTTCTACAAGAACATGCTCAATAAGCACCGTAATCCAGTCACAATTCCCGTCTGCCTAGAATAAGGCTACCAGCGAGAGCACAGCTCACTGCTGATCCCACCCTCCAGCCATGCTTATTCTCGGGCGCGTCCCGAACCCTGCCACATCCCGAAAATGGCTGAAATAGGCTGTTCGCATCGCTCCCCCTCGAAACGGCTGAAATAGCCGATTTTTGCTGAATTCCGCCTGAGCGTGTTGCGCTCGGGCAGAAAACTCGTCCAAAGGGGAACCCCTTGCCGATTTTTTCCGTGAAAACTCGTCCAAAACAGCCGCTTTTCGACGGGACAACTCGTCCACCGCATTGCCCGCCGCCGCGACAAACGCGGCGGAAAACTCGTCCGAGAGCGCGGTTTTTGAGGGAGGAAACAAGCAGCGCACGTTGTGACACCTTGAATTGCCCTTGGACTTTTCACTACTTTTTTGGTCACTCCTAGAACCGCTCCGCGAAAATTAAGCTCGCTTTTCTGTTCCATTTATGAATCCCTTTACAATACAGTGGGCAAGTTTTGAAAAAATGCGCCGGTCTGCCTCAAAACGCAAACAAACCATTTTTCTACTACAGGCATTTTTACAACCATTTTCTTTTTGCGCACCCTTAACCAATGTCCGCGCTCGTTCAAGATTGCTCAAAATCAGCTGCGGTTCTTCCTGCTTTTTTTTCTTCGCAGCCAGCACAGTGAATCATTCCGCCGTTAGTCGGGGCAGTGTTAGGAGAGGTGGAATATGTCCGCTTTCGGCTGCGTTTACTGGTAGTGAGCGGGTTGTGACCGATTCAGGAAGAAACCAGTTACGGTAGACAACGCCGCGGATGGGCTCATTGTACGTTCCCTGGGCCCGCCCCAACTGAATGCGACGATATCAGCTGTACTGGAGCTTGCGATCGAGAAATGTGCCTTTCATATCAAATGTCTTTGAATGTTAATCAGAATGTATTACCAGAACGAAAAGAAGAGTGTGCATAGGATTCTTCCATAACAGCGTATCATAGATGGCCGCACCTACTTCGATAAGCGGATGGAGGAAGTTATCTGAAATCATTGAGTAGAATGACTTGTAATTTCACTCCTTTAAAACGGGGTTGGATTCAGAATCTTTAAGATAAATTGAATCGAATCTTCGAGAAATCCTTACATGCACCCCTTACAATTAGAATGATTCGAGGTTTGACGCCTAGACAGCGTGCGTGATAAGCGCCCACCTGCGTATACTCAGCCTCAAACGCCTTCTCCTTAAGATACTGTTGGAGGCCAACTCCCCTGGCCAGATTCTCGTCGCTGCATTTCATTGTCATACAGCATTTTGCGCTCTTCTGCATTGATTCTAAACCAATAAGAGAAGACATCGGTGGAATAGACAGTAAAGAGAAGTCAGCAGGTTCAACAACGTCCAGCAACAGCAACAAATCAGAAGCTGGATCTTGTAAATGGAGGGAATGGAACAGGCAAACTTACAAGGCAATCGCATTTGAGATCTCCGTCGTAAGGCAATTGCAGACAGTTTCTGGGTTTCAGGTTTCGGATTCTTTGGCTTCTCATAGGGAGGAGCCTCGAATGCCTCTGCAATGTCGTAGAGAAACCATTTCACCTCGTTGGTCAGCCGACTCCACAAGGATTCTTGCAGTTCCGTTTCTGAAATGAATTTTCTCTTTAATTCCGCTTGATTATCACCGAACTAAGGGCGGAGACGGCAAGAGAATCGTAATTGCCGCTTCGTCCGCCCGCGCCGCACAATCGCAACCGTTTTCTTAATCTGCCTATCACTCGGTGAAACATCGAAATTTCACGTAGACAAGGACATGGTAGACAATTTGTGGCTATTTTTGGTTATACATTGTTTTTATTCTGGACTAATACCACCCAAAATCGTCATCATTAGCGGCCGCGACGTCGCACGCGAAGCCCACCGACGCGGCGAATCACGACTCTCTTGCTACATACACCTTTTAGGCCCTATTCGGCTCTAGAGGGACCTATTCACTAGCTTCCTTACTCAGAGGCATTTGTAATATCATATCAAGGTTTTCTGTCAATTTCCGGCAATACTCGCCCTTCACAACCCTGCTCTTCTAAGGTTGAGTGATTATGGTCGAAAATAGTCACCCATAATTGATCTAGCTAGAAACTCGTTTTCACGGGTAGTTTGACCCAGTAACCATGGTTTTCATTGTATTCGATCTGTCCACCCGTTACGGGAGGGGTTATTCTCGTTACGGGCGCTGGGGCCAAAACACATCTGTTCACCAAACTTACTGAAAATTATCCGCGAGTTCGGCCCTCTGAATACGAATCTCAATTCTGCTCACGCACTGCTCAAAAGCGCCACGTTACAAGTGCATGCACCTATAGCGCGACCGTGACAGAGACAATTTCATGGCCAAGTGTACTCTCAAGGACGAGTTGCAATGGAGTTACGGTCTGACTTTTGAATAATGGGTCGTTATAGGTGCGCACTGTCCAATACCACATTTGAGTTACTATTTCTCGCTTCCTTGTGAATCTTCCGCTTTTCGTCGCTAACTGCCGACTGTTCCCACCTGTAAGCAAGAACCGTGCGTTTCTAGTAAGGGTCGCTCGCAAGCCAAGGGTTTCATCGGATCCCAACCATATCCTGCCCCTTTGTCTCCAAATCATTGGAGGAAAAGCACACAATCAGTTATAACTGTATAAGCTCATCGTAAGGAGAGGTGGTGTGGACTGCAACGAACAACCCTGTATGCGTTCCACGTCAGAAAGTAGTAAAGTAGCGGCGAGAAAGCACAATGTTGCTCAACTGGCTCCGCCCACAGTGATAGGTGTCTTATCTGCGCTCTCCTTCTTTTGCATGCTCTTTCCCTGTTTTCTTTGGTCAGTCTCCCAATATCCACAGTGATTGCTTGTGTTTCGCATGGGACTAGTAAAGCCTTTTTGAAATACTCTCAACGACTTTTTTTCTTTTTACTTCACGAGAGTGTCAACTAGCACATACAATTCTGTTCCTCAATCCCGCTACCTACAAACTTTTCACTTGCTCATCACGAAGTTTGCTTTCAATAAAGCTACCTAGCTCAATCCCTACAGATACGAATAGCTTGGTATAGACGTAGATACAATAGCCGTAAATCTGTTGGCTATTCTTGCAAGGAAAGTACAAAATCCGGATGAGGAAACGACGCTGTCAGGCGGTCTCCCCCTCCCTCCGCTCGGAATTTCCTGCTTTGGAACAACACTGTCTCGTGTTCTATATATCACCTTCTTAACGTTTCCGAACTTCGTCCCACCGCAACTAGTTTTTCAGAAGATTCTCCACTTTTTTCCAAAAAAAACTGCTGTGGAGCAAAAGGGAGGGCGTGAGGGACTCCTGTAGTGAGGAGATCGCACTCGTTGACCAAATAGGCCCCCCACCTCAACAACCAGTTACGATTTCCCTGACTGGATTCTCTCAAAGATGCCGTACCTTGCTTATAAGCCCTTATGGAGGAAAAAAAACTGAAAGTTGTGCAAAATGTTAATGTAATCCACTCACCAGACGTCTCTGTGGAGGAAATTGAAGCGTTCTCATATTCGAGACTGCTCTTAGGATAGATATGACGGACGACCAATGGTTTCGGTGACGACGCAAAAATGCGTTGATTTGGCCCTCGCATTCTGAAAGCATCAGATTATTTGAATCGAGAATCCACAGAATTCAAAGGGTCTAATCCTTATCAAAAAATTACTGTGCACTGGTGGCAATGTATTCAGATCAAATGGTAAATGTTTTATTACAGTTGACAGGACAATGACGCAAGGAAGCGCAATATGAGCAAATGACAGACAGCTGGATGACGCAGGATTGACGCGATGACAAGAATTATGAACCGAGAAGCTGGCACGGAAGAAGAATGCTTATTTCAAGATAAAGTGTTTGAAGTCATTAGGAAGAGAACGCACATGTGAAATGACGTCACAAACAGTGAGATAATAGTGTTAAACGTGACAGGTCCAGCTATGAATCACATATGAAGGACTTCTCAACAACAGGAAGCCGCATATTGTGCCACAGGTTGGAAACGGCTAAGCATGGATCTTGACGAGGTGTAAAAAACAGATACTTGCGACAATTCCATGTTCAGGTATTCAATGTTAGTTAAGATCAACTCAAAGATGATTGGAACGGGGAATCACTTAAAGGGTGCTACGTGACGCCTGCAGCGCCTAATACCTTGCTGTTACGTCTATTTGTTGACTTTCTTATCATGGGAATATCAACAGTTATTACTACAACTATTCAACTGATTAAATTTATCTGCAAAGGCGTAATTTCCAAAACAAGTACAACGTAAAAAATTTCTACGGCGTCAACTGGCACTGTCTGTACTCTGTTCTTCGGGCTTTATTCGACTTGTCGGGGACAGTGTGCGTCCAGGGCACATCTGTTGTTGGGGAATCCCAATAGGAGGGGGGGGTCGGTATTTGGCGCCAGCGAGAGGGGGTGTCTATTTTGCGTTGGAAAAATTTATTTTGATGGTTGATTTTCTCCCGAATCGTAAAGGGGGAGGTCGTACTCAGTCACTTGTTGGGGGGAGGAGGTCTACTTACGTTTTAGCGTGATGGTGTGTTTGACTTCTGGCTGATTTTCCTGTTTCATGATTACTATATACCCCCCCCCCCCCCTCCACCGCTCGACGGCTCGATTCGATGAGGAGAATAGAGGGTAGAGGGCTGGGGGGGGGGTACAGACTCGACTAAAATCCCCAACCAAAGATGTGCCCTGGTGCCGTCCTTGATGGTGAAGCTCGGAGCGGTACTTACTAAGTTGCTCTTGTTCATGGTGACAGAGGTGATTTTTTTTTCTTTCGAAATTTGATTTGCGACGCTGCAGGAGGTTTCCCACATATACCTCGAATACTTAGGAAGAGGCAGGCCATCCGCTCCATGTGAATCTGGCCACATTTCCGGTGGGATATTTTCAATGGAGCACAATTGTATTCATGCCTCCGTCACAGACGGTATGACAGTTGTCTCAAAATGAAATATCCAACGAATAGCCCCCTCCTACTCCATCTTTGCCTGCCATGTTACGCCGCCACGCCCACCGCATCTCAAGGGATGTGATGTACATTTAGGTTGAATTTTGTTTGAAAATAAAGATGACGTAGATATGTGAGCAGACCAGGTACGACGTAATTGCGGCCGAGGACAGGAGAGAAGCATTCAGCTGAAGCAGAACTGATCAACGTCTCCGAAAAGCTGACCGCCTCCTTTGCACGCGTCTATTTCTGTGCTTTATCCCGTGTGCAAAGAGGCAAGGCAGAGTAGTGTACCCAGCATGACGGCGGGCAGTTATCGCATCCGCGTGCATTATTCCAAGATGCACCATTGTGTGGCGTAGCAAAGCAACTCGGAGCCTCTGCGAAGCTTGTAAGCAAAGATCATTACTTGCCCCAATGATTCAGGTATTAGAAACGCCCGCACATCAAAGGCAGGACGTCCCTGAATCCGACAATCAGGCACTTATTTTGACCTCCTTGTAGACCAGCAGATGTTTTGCACCAATAGAACCTCCAAGAAGAATCGCTGGACATCTCATAGACCACAATGCCTGGACAATGAAGGCGAAGCGTGGAAAGATTGTTAAGAACAGAGTTTCTCGGAACCAAAATTGTGGTGCAACTACTATGTCCCCTCGGCTTGGAACAACTGCATTGCTCTAAATGGGGTATGCCAGAGTGCGATATCCGATCTGAGCGTGGACGAAGTGTTGGCTAGTCGAAGCAACCCTTCGGAAAGTCTGCAACAAGCTTGGTGTCGCCCATATACACCAAGCAAGGCAGGCAACGCGTTCCCAAAAGCAATTTCGCTTCTGCCCAAATGCAGACGGCTACCGATGCTAGAGGTAAGGCATTATACCCTAAGATCATCGATGATCATTCGTCAAGGTGGAAGTACTTGCCCAATTCTCCACTTTCGCCAATTAGCGCTCACTCCTTTTCGGCCCGAGCGAGTAAGCGTTTCCACATCTCTCAACTGAGATACTAGCCGAACAGCCGCGCAGGTCAAGGTGTTAGAAATGCTATGCCCGATATCCAGGCATCCAGGAGGAAATCCACCGTTGAAAATGCAATATGGTCCAGGTTATCCAGAAAGAAAGAATCTACTATCTCGTCATGAATCACTCGTGACAAATGCAAACGGGAAACGACAAACAAAAACAATATCGGATCACAGAAACAGTACGGTCGTCCAACTTTTGACACCTGGCGCTATCAATCTTCAGTGTTTTTCTGGCCACTGTGCAGTGCAAAAATGAAGAATTGAAAATCAAAATCATTAATCATTGTTGTGTTCGAACTTACTAATATAACGACTCAACAAATAATAAACATTAAAAATGGCATTCAAGAGCTGAACTTACTGGTGAGCAGGCAGTCCCTCGGTGGTTTCTATGTCGGCGAGTGCGCTCACTGAAAAAAAACGCAGTCAACCGTTGCCTGGAAATTTTCTTAGGTAGAGAAGATGGAGTTCAAATGGGAGAAATGCAAAAGCATTATCCAATCCGCCTCTATAAATCTTTCAAGAGGATTGAAAAAAACTCAATCAATTGCTCGCCTAGTAATTTCCTTCGACGGTGAACCTAGGGGACTGTTTGGGTGAGTGATTGCAATAAGACTGATACCTTACAGAAATTAACAACAATTTATGGAACTGCTCAAGGCACTTCTGAAAAACCTGCCGGAAACATGCGGTCTAGTTCACTGCTACTGAGTAGGGTGTGCCATAGGAGCTGGGTTTAGCCGCGCGCCTTCCAGCCCGTTTCACCCGACTGTTGTCGCTTGCCCCCCTTTTTCTCGAATGCTCATGGAAGGACTAACCCACCCCAAACCCTCCCTCCTTAATCGCCGCCAGCAGAGCCAAGGAATGTATATGCACAAACATGTTTTGAAACACAACATGGCATGCGAACGCACCCCATAAAAAAATACTAAGAAAGTCGAAGAGTATAGGAGACCAGACAGGAGCAGCGGGAGAGCGAGAGAGCACGTAAATGAGCGAAACGGAGGAAGCTAATGGGGGCGGAGTTGCTTGCGTTCAGGAGTGAGTCAGTTGAACGCACTGCTCCTCAACACCTCCAAACTGGCACTTGCCTATTTCGACCCACACTACGTTTTTCATGCTTTTCATTACTGAAAAAGATTCGCAAAATGTCCTTTTTTCGCGAAGAGAGGTCGAAGTACGCGTGGAAGGATGACGTGCATTAGCGCTCAGCAATGAGGGCACGAGCACTACCGATCTCTAGGCATACTAGAAGATGACAAAAATCGCTGCGCAACTGCAGCAAGGAGGCACAACGCTACATTCAATACTATTCCATGCTTATGACAGAATTCGCTTCTGCATTTCGTTTTTTGAAGCACTTCTCGCAACGACAGGAAGAGGAAGAGAGATTTCGGTACAGCTGGCGACGCCACCTCATATTCTAAGCCCAACGGGTGCTGATGTGAAGGCCCAGACGAAAGAGAGGTGGAGGAGGCTGCACAAGGAGAGTCGGTGCGGAGATTAGCAGCCTTCGTCGGACACCCTTATCACCACTGCATCTCTGGTGAAAGCAAAGTCGAGTTCTGTCTTGAGGGACCTCATCGAAGTCCTTGCAACTCATGACTTTCCTCAGGCCAATTTGCCTTACCACTAGGTTTTTTTCGAGAAGGATTTCATCGTCAGGAGGAAGTCCTCAAACTCCCCCTCAATCATTGTAAAAAGCAGTCCGCAAGCTAGTTCGTGAGTAAAGCGAAATTTGTTAAAGGAATCAAAGCTCCATGTGAGGAAAGGCAGTTTGAGGTGCTGTGGACAAACTCGTACAAGTCTCGCGTCGGGAAGTTGTAAGGTAGTGGAAAGCAGGTTGTAGAAGTGACTCCTCCTGGGAACAAGTGACTCCACCTTGTCTTGGTATCTA